GCTCTGCGGCTCTGTGTGTGACAGGGTGTGGCGCCCCAACCCCCCCCACCCCCCACGGGTCCTGCTCTGTGTGTGACAGGGTAGAGCCATAACCTCCCCATCGGCCCTGCCCTGAGTGTGACAGTGGCGGCGTCCCAACCCCCTGATCGGCCCTGCTCTGTGGGTGATAGAGGGTGGCGACCCAATCCCCTGATCTTCCCTGCTCTGAGTGTGACAGGGGCCAGTACCACAACTCCCCTATAGGCCCTACTCTCTGAGTGACAGGGGGGAGCTCCTCAACCCCCTGACGGGCCCTGCTCTTTGAGTGACACGGGGGAGCTCCCCAACCCCCTGATGGGCCCTGCTCTGTGTGTGACAGAGGGGAGCTCCCCAACGCCCTGATTGACCCTGCTCTGTGTGTGATAGGGGGCAGTGCCCCAACACCCTGATTGGCCCTGCTCTGTGCATGACAGTGGGGAGCTCCCCAACCCCCTGATCGATCCTGCTCTGTGCGTGAAAGGGTAAGGAGCCCCAACCCCCCTGATGGGCCCTGCTCTGTATGTGACAGGGGGTGGTGCCCCAACTCCCCAGTCGGCCCTGCTCTGAGCCTGACCAGGGGCTGCACCTAGGGATTGGGCCTGCCCTCTGCCACGCGGGAGCAGGCCTAAGCCAGCAGGGCATTTTCTCCCAAGGGGTCCCAGACTGCGAGAGGGCACAGGCCAGGCTGAGGGACCCCCTTCCCCCCGAGTGCACAAATTTTTGTGCACCGGGCCTCTAGTGTACACTAATAAAAGAGAAATATGTAAATTGATTGTCACTCTGCTACACCACCAGCCAATCAGGATGACTATTCAAAGACAGCGAGTTCATTTGCATACACAGGCGCAGAGTGAAGACTGAAGGCTCCGAGCGAAGACTGAACGCAACTGAAGACTGAAGAGGCTTGGCTTCTCCACTGCGGCTGGAGCAGAGAAGCCAAGCCTCGCTGTGGCCAGAGCAGAGAAGCCTAGCCTCGAGGCTTGGTTTCTCCGCTGCGGCAGTGCCAAAGGCCTGGGTCATGGGTGCCAGAGGAAAACTGGTGCTGGTAGCCAGGGGAAGGAAGGCCTACTGCATGAATCTTTGAGCAACAGGCCTCTAGTTTTTTTATATTAGCCATTCAATTTGGATTTCATTCATTATTTATACTGTTATTAATGCATGAAATTGGGAGACAAGTGTAATTATACCCATAAAATGCAATTTGTTCACCATTCACCTATTGACAGGCAATTATGCTATCCTCCACTGACAGCAGCTCACTCCAACATCTCATTCACTTAAGATCTAGGAACTCTAACCACTTGATCTTTTGGTGGAGGCAGTACCTCACTGTCAGGAAGCAATGCCATCATATTTTAAACTAAAATTACAGCAAAGGTTAAATATAATTACTTCAGCACTTTTATCAATACACTTAAATTACAATTCATGCTTTTAATTAAAGTTTGCCTTTTTCATAAACATACATTTAACACAAAGACAGACTATATCAAGAATATTACTATTTCCTTGTCATTAAAATTTACATAGTAATATTTAGTTAATTTTTATCATTTCCAGTTTAAGATACTGCTATATATGCCCTTTGTTTTGGAAAATTATTGCCTAATCCAAACATTTTTCAGAAGATTCTTATAACACAGTTCCCTGTGTCTTCATTTTCTATTTTGTTCTATTTTGTTAATACACTATCATAGCTCATATCACATTTTGTAATTATTTATTTATAGACAACCTCCCCAGTAGACTAACCTCCCCCAGTAGAGAACATTAACTACTGGGTATGTTAACAAACATAGGAGTCATGCCCTTATAAGAGTTCTAGAAAGTGATAGTGGTAGGGGTTGCACAACATTGTTAATGCCCCTAATGCCACTGAATGGCACACTTAAAATGGATCTTATGATAAATTTTATGTTATTTACGTTTGATCACAATAAAAAAAAATGAGGACTTACATTGGTGGTAAAATTATGTAAGATCTTTAGGTTCCTTTTGTGGTCCCTTCCTTCCTTAAACAAAAGGTACAAAACGTCATGCCAGAACCAAATCGTCTTCATTCTTCGATGTATCAAGTCACTCATCCTATAAACAGGTTGCAAACGTATCAGCTGATATAAAAAAATGTGCATTGTTTGTGTACCTATTTGGTGCCTGGTCTCAATGAGGGTAATACGTGGCAACAATGATAATTCATCTTACCAGCTAAGAGCTCTATGCTCAACAATGAAGGCATGGGTTATTACACATCCTAGGAAGCTTTAAAATTAAATTCCTTTAGAGTAATGAAGAATCCAGTACAAAACACCTTACTAGATGGACATCTGACCTCTCCTTCTATTTCTCCTGGAAGAGTTCCAGACCTCCCTAAGCTGCCTGTAGCTCTTATACCACAGGGTCTGATGAAGTATGCCTGTTTAATGTCCATGCATTTGCTTGATCACTCCTCTGCTATCCTCTTCTCCAGGAAAGTGTCCCTCTGTCACATTCCTGTCCCGAGTCCCTCCCTCAACATTTCCAGTGATGGAGCAGAAAGACCTAGACATGATCTCCTCCTTTGAGAGCAGCTTACAGGTCAATTCTGCAGAGTGGCCTTACCTGGTCACTCAATCTGTGAGCCCTATTGCTGTTTTCTTCTCGAATATCAATCAACTTAATTTTTTCTTTGAAGCAATTATTACAGTTTATAAGTTTATACTTATTTGTTTTGATGCTTGTCTCCCTGTGATTCTGTTCTGAGGACCACTATAAAACTACTCAGTATCTTGTGTGATGAATAGCAGATAATATATGCTGATATCTGTTAAAATGAAATGGGCAGTGGACTTAAAGACAGAATTCCTTAAATCAAACCCTGGCCCTGCCCCTTAATAGTTGAATAATCTCAAGCAATTTTTCAAAGTAAATACGACTATTTCAATTAAAAAATAACACACACTAAGTGCAGAAAATATGGGGAGAGAGAATTAATAACAATACAAAAAACAAGAAAGAGGAGCATATAACACAAAATAATAATCACAGCTAACATTCTGGAATAATATCTACAAGTTATTTTTAATGAAAATGTTTTATACCTAGTGGTTATCATGCTAAAAATAGTTTTTAATAACAATTTTAAAAATAATTAGAAGGACTCCATTTACCTATAAACTGCACGGACATACTCAGAATCATCATTAGTCTGAGCATCAATATTCTTGCCCATAGCTGTCTCTGCAAAATATGGGTGAGAAGCAACCATTCAATTCATGCACATGCCTTGTGTTTATTTTTTAGTGGCAAACACTTCAAAGAAGAGATAATTTCTTCTATTATAGAATTGTTCCTGTCCCCCTTTCACTCTTGCACCTTTAGTTTCTCCTACTCCCTGTTCCTGCTCCTTCTTCCCTCTGCCCTTCCTGGCAGGTTGGCTCTGCTCGAAGCCCTGGCAGTGGGTACTGCTGCTCAGGAGCCTAATTTAGCAGAAGGCCCGTCCCAAAGAAGCCAAAATCCTTTTAATCCTTTCATTTGCCTTCCCAGTGAAATGTTATTTTCTATTTCGGCCATTTTACGTTTACACCATAGCTCAGTGATGGCGAAGCTTTTGAGCTCGGTGTGTCAGGATTTTGAAAAACTCTAACTTAACTCTGGAGATGTGTCACATGTAGAAATTTTTTGATATTTGCAACCACAGTTAAACAAAGATTTATATTTTTGATATTTATTTTATATATTTAAATGCCATTTAACAAAGAAAAAGCAACCAAAAAAATGAGTTCGCATGTCACCTCTGACACGCGTGTCATAGGTTTGCCATCACTGCCATAGCTCTACAAACAAATCAATGAGACGTACCACAGATTATATCTAAGGCACAAAGAGTGATGTAAAAAAAGCAGTTAAATTTTTCTCCGTCAACATGTTTTTCAAGCTTATTAACCAATATGTTGGCTTGTTCATTCATGACATCTAAGAAGTCTTCCAGAATGGTAAAATGGAAAGTGGGTGTTAACATTTTTCTCCTGGAGCGCCATTTGTTTCCAGTACTAGAAATACAAGACATGGTTACAAAGAAGAGAAAAGCAACATCCAAAGCAAATAAAGCATAGTCAAGACAACAAATTCTTCTTAATCTACAGATTCCCAAATGCTTTGGTCAGAATGTCAAGGGGAGATTCATATACAGTACAGAATTGTCATATTTTAGATATCCTTCTATATTACTAATATGTAAAAGAGCATTTTTCAAAATTGAAAATTTTAAGAATTTCACTAAATTTCTAAGTTCTGAGTTTCCAAAAATGAGAAATTTCCCCCCTTTATCCAACCTTAGCCCTCTGAAGATCCAGGAGCTCCATGAGTCTACTTTGGTCTCTAACATCTCCAAATTCTCCAAAGCCCCCACCGAAGTCCTGCTTTCTCTTTCTCAGTTGATGGGGTCCTGTTGCTGGATGGCAGCTCAAGGACTGAGGTTACTGTGCTCCACTTACTTCTCTGAGGATGACTGCCTTTTTCACTGAATTTCCAAGATTTCCCTGCTCAAAACTCCCCTGTGCCTAACTCCATTTCTACATTGGGACTTTCTAACTCTCCTTGGAACACTGGTGATCAGCATTATTGAATACCATGGCTGGAGATTACTCCACACCCTGGGTTCCTGTCTCTCAGAGGCCCATTATCACCCAACCTTTTCAGCTTCTCCCTACTACCCGACAGCACATTCTTGCTACAGGAAAACTACCCCATGTGAATGCCTGACATAAGTTACGAAGGAGAGATAGAGATATGAAAGCAACCTTAATTATTAGAATACTGGGCTAGAACACAACTACTTTCCAAAGTAACATTGCATAACAATTACTTCTTGGTGGTTCATTTTCATTACTATGACTCAAAGAAATGCAATTAGAGTTTGGAACATACGAGTGTCTCTCACTCTTAGAGACTAGCTGGAGTTGACTAAAAAGAAAATGTCCAAGATAATTCTGACTCCTGCCATAAATTAGGAGCCAAGTGGAGTTGTTTATTCTGAGGGTAGGAGTGAGGGAAGAGAGGTGGTTGAAGCAAAGGATGAGCACATTTAGGGAGATGGAAATCACAAGTTCATGATTAGGTATGTTGATTTGGAGGCATTCAAGTTGCATAGTCTGAAAGCAGGTATGAAGCTCAGGATTGAGGCTTATACTAGGTACACATTTGAATGTCTCCAGGATATAAGTAGCATTGGGAACCATGCGTACAATTAGGTTGCCGGGAGCCAAAGTAAAGCAGAAGGGACGAGCATATGCACAAAATGCTTCTCAGGATCTTGCTGCAGTTCCCAACTTTGGACAGATCTCTATCCACATGTACTAAGCCCACTGATACTAGGCCAGTAATGGCTGACTTCCCACATGTGGCTCTCTCCCTATCTCCTCTGGACCAGTACATTGGGCAGTGTGGTACCAGAGACACTCCAACAGTTTTACCACAATGAGTAAGAAAGATGTATCCAAGCCCAGCAACCCTAGGAAATTTTGTTTTTAATTTTTCTCCATCAAGAGAAAGTCTGTTTTCCCATTTGTACTTCCTGACCAAAGCCTTTGTTATCAAATCATAAGATAATACTCCCAATGTCATGATAATAAGTAAAAGAAAGGTAAACAATTTTTAGGCGTAATTTCAATAGCGTGAATTAACAACATCTTTCCTATCAATACCACATTAGTGTTCTCTTTTTAAAAATTAACTTGAAATCATAAAAGTATAATGGATACTCTGAGCCTCTTAAGGGAAACACTTAAATTTTATTTGTCTTATAATTTTGGAATCTTAAAACAGTGCGTGGGAGATGATAGGAGCTCACCTTGTAGAATAATCTATTTATGGTTCTATTCAATTGAAGAGTTCCCAAAAAAGAAGGACAAGTATATGACTTGATACCAAATGTGTATAGACATGTAAAAGCTGCTACTCTTCCCAGAATTCAGACTATATCTCGAAAGCATTAAATGGCACCTTCACAGCCTTTAATATTTAATGGAATGCTCATTGTACTGAATTCAATTAAATATAAGGACATATATTTTCTGTTAATTCTGATGAGATTCTCACACCATCAAACAGTGAAACATTGACCACAGTCACCATCAACTCACCTCTATAGTTTCGGCCTTAAACATGGCTATTACTGGTACTGTGCCAAGCCAGAGTTTTAGCATTGGCACATGTCTGTTGCGTCCTGTGTAATAAATCATCTGCTGGAAAAACTCTAGAAAATAATTAATTTTAAATAAGTTCCTTACTTTCTCTTTTTGGGTTTTTTACTGTTTTTACTTTGGGCAACTGTCTCAATTTCTCCCAGATCTTTCACACCTTGAAGCTAAACCACACAGTTGTCCTTACTAAATTATTAATGAATGAATTATGAGGCTAATTTAATTATGAATAATATATATGCAACAACCTGGTTAACTGAGAAATGCCAAGCACTGTGGATGTTTGTGGTGACCTTATGACATGCCTTCCCCAAGAACACCGAGGTTGTTCAGTTTCTCCTGACCTGCACAGGCTACTCTTCTGTAGAAAGGGAAACCTGTCCCAACTCTCCAGCCCTGGAAGA